AAAAAAAAAAAAAAAATGTTTCATATCCTCCATGTGCAAAATTTTAAAAGGCTTGGCAACCTATGTCAAGCAGCAGCTGAGTACCAAGGTCATAACTAGAAGAGATAATTGTTTGCTCTACTTCTTTATTTAGTGTTCTATGTTTTAAGAAAAATAAGTTTAAGAACGTATTTCTAAATAGCAATAATCTATATACATATATAATGTATAATAATTGAAATGTGACTGTATTTTACAAAATACTAGTCTACTAAAACACAGCCAAGACAGGTCACTTTGTAAAGACTAAAGGTCAGTTTTATATTATTAAATATGGTAACATGAGTGCCTGTGCACCACATCACTGTAACTTCTGTATTGTTAGCCAGGTACGGCTGAAAGATCAATATACTGAAAATAATAAATATATATAAATGTATAATATTATGAGATTTAAGCTATTTAGTCTAACCATTTATGTTTTCAGGTTATAATCTGTAGTCATTCTAGAATGAAAAAGGCATAATATGTATTTATTTTCTAATTTGCCAAATTTCATTAACATAAGCTTACTAATTTAAAAGTTATAGCTTGAAAACTATAACAAGCACAAAATGGTTACGAGGTCGGTTCCAGGGACTGAGCCTGTACAGAAGGAGTTAAAGGTAATTAAGTTGATATGTTAGTTATAATGATCAAGGAGGGCTAGTGTAAATGTAAAGAAATTGATATGTTAGTGATAATGATTAAGAAGGGGTTATATAAAGGTAATTAAGTTAATATGTTAGTTATAATAATCAAGGAGGGGTTCTGTAATAATAAGCAAGTCAACATCTTAATAATATTGATCAAGGAGCAGTTATGTAAAGGTAAGCAAGCTGATATGTTAGTGATAATGATCAAGCAGGGGTTTTGTGAAGGTAAGCAAATGGATATTTTTGGGATATTGATTAAGGAGGGGTTATGTAAAGGGAATTAAGTTGATATGTTAGTTATGATGACCAAGCAGGGCTATTGTATATGTAAGGATGTTGATATCTTAGTGATAATGATAAAGGACCGGTTATGTAAAGGCAAGCAAGTTAGATATGGTAGAAGAGTTGTGTAAAGGTAAGCAAGTTAATATGTTAGTGATAATGGTGAAGGAGGGGTAGTGTAAATGGAAGCGAATCGGTATGTTAATAATCATCAAGGAGGCATTATGTAAAGGTAAGGAAATCAAGATGCTAGTGATAACGATTAAGAAGAAGTAGTGTAAACATAAGCAATATGATATGTTAGTGACAAGAATCAAAGTTGGGTGGTGTAGAGGTAAGGAAGTTGATATATAAGTGAAAATGATCAAGGAAGGGTTATGTTATAAGAAGCAAGGTGATATGTTAGTGATGATGATGAAGGAAAAGTGGTGTAAGTTTAAACATGTTAATATAGTAAAGATATTGAGCAAAAAGATACAGTATGAAGGTGAGCACATCAATATTGTAATGATATTGAGCAAGTAGGTAGAGTATAAATGTGAGGAGATTGATCTGTGACTGATAATGTGCTTCATTGCTAAAGTTAATACAGAATCTAAAGAAATGGTTACTATTTCCTTTACTCAAGGATTTATGTGTAAATTAACAGATTAAAAATTAATTTGCTAATTTCAGTGATTGTTATTTAAAGCCAACATTATCTTGGGATTCAGAAAAGGATGAGTAGGCCAAATATGAGAATTATTTGGAACATTTTGTTGTGATGTTTCCCACTGATTAAGATACATAAATCTACTTTAGTTAAACATTCTCTTGGATTCATCTGTACCAAATATTTGCAAAAATCCTTTCACCAACTACAGTTTATATAGTACTCTGGAAAATCATCCATACACACAACATTTTGACATGATACAGGGCTAAGATTCGGCATAATACTTTACATAATAGATGGCACCTGAGTAAGCATTAACTTAGGGCTAAATTAAAAAATTTGGCATATAACCAAAAAATTATATGAGACACTATGCAAGGTGATAAAATAATAATGTACTTACTACATGAGAAAGTATGTGGCATAGAGCTGAGAGATGGCACTGAGAAACGGTTGACTTACTACAAGAGAGTATGTGGCATATGGCTGAGAAATGACACATCACAAAGGACTGAGAAACAACTATTGACTTAATACAAAAGAGAGTATGTGGCATAGGGCTAAGAGATGGCACATGAAATGGTAGCACATCAAAAGATAGCACATATGTATGTGGTGTTGGGCTAAATGATAATACATGGAATAATGATGACCACACATTACTTTCTGCAAGAGGTAACCTGGATTTAAGACCAACAGACAGTGTATGATATAGATCTAGAGTAAGAAATGGCATGTGGCATAGCTTATTGGCATGTTTTTGTATCATATTTTACTATATCCATTTGTGAAAAAAGTTTAACATGTACCTGTTTTTATTGTTAGAAAGGCTGTATCTTGAATTATGTTCATTGTCTTTATTTAGGTGGTTGCTGTAAAATAATAAAACAGTATAAAAGTAACATGTATATTACAATATTTAAAAAAATATAAACTTTTAAACACTTGACATTTGATTTTTTAATTTGTTATAGAAGTGTAACTGATTACATGTTATAACAATCAAATAAGTAACTACGTAAAATTTGCTTTGATATTCTTTTCTAGTTCTTATAGATCTGAGTTGAACGTGGTAACACAAACAAGTCTGTTGACTAATCTATTAATGATAATATTTTCTCAGTTTAACTGATGTTTTTAACTCCATCTAGAATGGTTTTGATGCTTTACGACATCTCTTGCCCTCTATAAGTCAACACCCAAACTCTAAAGTCAGCAAAGCTGTAATGCTACAGAAAGGTATGGGTGTTAAACTAAAATTAGTTTTGTTTAAAATCTATAATATTTTAGTGTATTTTGTTAATTTTAGTTGAATGTCTTCACACACACACACACACACACACTTTGGGTACTTTGCCAGTGTCTGATGCCGTATTTTCAGCCATGGGTGCAGGCCAGTTGTCAGGGGATATATCATTGTTGGTAAAAAACTGCAGAAATGTCATGAATGTGAATATATCTATATTTCATGTTGGTAAGACAGACTGTAAAAAAAGGTGATGAATATGCTCATATATCTGTTGTTTATGTTGGTGAAACAGACTTCTAATAAGGTACTCTCTCTACTTTCACAAGATTACCTCTGTATGCAAACTTTTTCAGAAATGCATGCCACAAGTCTTCTTGAAATGGTTTATTTTTTCATTTTTCATATTTTTCTTAACTGTGTTTACTATACTTCACATTTGTGGAGTTAATATTTTTATTAAAGCATTACTAACTTGTGTTTGCCACTTTTTCCTGCTTATGAATTCTGAAGTTACAGTCATCACTTTGGGTACTTTGCCAGTGTCTGATGCCGTATTTTCAGCCATGGGTGCAGGCCAGTTGTCAGGGGATATATCATTGCTCATTTGCTGGTAGATTGAGTGGTATATGAGCCAACTTCTCTTACCTATTTCTGCCCCACTTCCTCCTGAGCATTTTCAGCTGGACCAGGCTGAGGACAATTTTATTTGTCCCCCCTCCCAAAGTTTGCCGCGCCTTCCTGTTCACTACCGTCATTGGACTTTTCGGATGTTTTGTCTCTTACACCTGTTTCCTATGACCCTAGACCTTCCCTCTTACATGAAACAACTTCTCAGCCCTATTTATGTAATCTTTCCCCTCTTCCCTGATATTAGGGTTCACACGGACTGATTTGCTTCTCACCTGGGGGAGGACGTTACCCTGTCCATCTTACCCAAGCCAAATTTTCTTGCCTTCGTCTCACCCTCATGACCCTGTTAAGGTACCTTTCCTTCATTCCATTCACCATCTGTCAGAGGCTATTCACAGGTACGCTAAGGGTTTTTCTGCTGAAATCTTCTCTATCCTCCACATAGTGCCATTTTTGTGGTATTATATGTTTGACTAGGTTCCTGAGTTTTGGAGTCATGGGTGGCCTCTGCCAATCAACATTTTATGCTTCCTGTCCTCCCGACCTTCCCCTACCAAACCTCTTCCTGTCCCACCCTCCCGCAGTGCAACAGTTCGCTGACTTACTTGATGATACACGATGTGCCAACAGCTGTGCCAATGACTACGTGGTCAGTTTGGGCCCAGTGAGGATTCATTTGTTTAATTTCATTCATTGGTGGGGACATTTTCTTGCCAATGTCTGGGTTCACAGAGTGCTCTCGGAGGTATACGTTATCCCTTTTCTCACCCTTCCTCTATTATCCAGTGTTCCCATTACCTTCCCTTCTCCTCGGGATCCCTCGACATGCCAGCATCTGTCAGAGGCAGTTCAGGACCTCCTCACACAACAGACTATAGAACTAGCTCCACCAGGTTCACAGGGGTTTTACTTCCACTTTTTTGTGCTTCCCAAGACTGTCATTGATTTATACCATTTCAATTAGTATGCTTGCACTCCTCGCTTTACAATGGAGACATACCTTACTCTTTGGTAGGCATATTTTTCAGGTCTTTTCTTTGGATGACCAAGGTGGACATTTCCAATGCTTACCTACACATTCCTGTGTTGGAGCGTTCATGTCCATATCCTCAGTTTGTCCATTGGGGGGGGGGGGGGGTTTCACTTGTGGTTGCACTTCCATGTTTATATCGACGACTGGCTTCTTGCTCATTTCAAACAGGAATTGACCTGTCACACTCGTCAGCTCCTGGCTGAAGCTACATGGGTGGACTGGTTGGTCAAATTGGCGAAGCCTTTACTTCCATACTGATGCCTTTGCCACTGCCCTCGATCACAAATTATCTTGGATTTGGTCCCCAGTTCCCCATCCTTGAGCCTTGGCTGTTGATGCCTTCAACCAGGATTGGTCTCATCTGTTCCTTTATTTTTACCCTACCATCCGATTACTTCATTGGATGGTATCCCTCATCCATTCCACTCCATGCACAGTCCTTCTGATTGCTTCTTACTGGCCTGTTCAACCTTGGATCTCTCGGTTGCTCCAACTGCAGGTGTTCCTTCCCCTTCCTCTTCCCTTATGTTCTGGCCTGCTCCATGAACCTCGGTCACCAGTGTAATATCCCATGACATTTGTCCTCCATCTTCACGTTTGGCTTTTGATAAGTCTTTTTTTTTTATAGGAGTTCCAGTTTCTCTTGCAGAGTAGCTTCACATTTAGCCTGTTCTATTTGGCTTTCTTTTTTGGCCATCTATCAACCGAAATGGAGCATTTATTGCTTCTGGGCATTGACTCTGGGTTTTCTGGGCTTCCCTCCCAATGGTTGCCTGTATCTCAGAGCTTCTCATGTGGCTCATTGTGAGGTGTTCTTTGGTCTCCTCGATTTTGGTGTTTTGGGTGGCATTATCTTATACCTTCCATTTTTCCCATTTCCACAGGGTCTTTGCTTCCTGTTCTTTCCATGTTGATCCATTCCTTCTGGCTCTGTCGGCCATTAAGGCATCTGTCATTCTTATACTGGGACATTAATGTGGCCCTTCATGACCTCACTTTACCTCTATTTGAACCTCTGTCTGCTGCCCATCCCTGCCATGTCTAGGTTGAATAAATCAGTGTGGTTTGCTTTTAAAAATAGGGTTTCATGATCACCCATTTCACTATCTCAGGTGTTGTAGTCCCTCCAGAATCTCCACTGTACTTTTTCCCCTTTCTTCCAGTGGAGTACAGGAGTCCTTACCACTTACCAGTTCCAAGCCACTGGGGTGGTTGACCTTGGAGGCAACCTGTTGGATGCGTTCCACAAAGATGGCTGTAACCATTCAGTTCAGAGTAGGGGGGTGGTATTCTGCTGGTGTAAAGGGAGTTACAAGATCCTCCGGATGGGAAACTAATTCATGGAGTTGATATGCCCAAATGCAATTCTCCCCTCCAATTGGGTGTTCTCCTCCTACCTTCAAATGAAAGTCGGTACCCAGCGAGTGAAATTTTAGAGATCGAGTGAACCAATCACATAAGTCCTCACACAGGTTTCAGGTTGTCCATCTTCCCCTCTCGACTTTTCATCTGTGGTGTGGGTTGCAGAAGGTCTATGTGTCTTGTTTCCACTTCCATCCTGAGTTTTCCCTCGTTGGATGACGAGGCTGTTACTTACCTTGGGTCATTTCGGGCTGGTTTCATGGTCGCAGGGGGTTGAGTGCATGTGATGGACTTCATTCGCATTCAGGGTGACACATTCCCAGATTCCTGGTATTAGGCTACCCTGTGAGTTCTGGAGTTGAATGTTAGGTTCAGTCTAGGACTTGAGGTGAAGACGATATCCTCATCCAATCCAAATTGTTTGAAATTTGACAAGAACTTTCCTAAAAGTATGTTGTTTCCAAAAAATATAATATCTAATTTTGATTTTTCTACTTTTTCTAATAAAAATTCATTATTCAATGTAGTTATTTGCACTCAGACTCTGAGTAGTTCACCTGCAAAGTGATTTTCATATTAAGTATGAAAATACTAATTTTATTTTACAGTTTTTACATTTCACTTGCATAATCTTTTGAACCTTCTAAATGAATATCAAAATTTTTTTAAGTGTTTATATTTTATTTGCCAGTTGTGCTACAACATAACTAACTCTAGATATTATCATCAATGCCCAGTGCAATGAAATGTTTAAAATTAAGAAATAGATATTTCTTGAATCATCTAAAAATATCTTCTTCGCATCACATGAGTAATTCTACATCTTTATCTTTTCATGTACAGTTTATTTTTAATGTTTTAATTTTCTCTCCTGCTCTTTATCTTTGATTATTTATGTTAGCACACATCAACAAGTGCCTGCGAGCAATATAAAATTAACTTCTGCAAGACTGTTTATCCCCCTGGCATATTATTTCTTGCTCTCGTAAGTTTGTTAAAGCTGTTTTAGCTATTCAAAGTATATAATGACTTAGATAATTATTAAACCAACTTTCAGATATAAATTTTAAAACACAAATAATACATGATTAACTAAAATATAAAAGTAAAATGTAAATGCAAACTAACTGTCTATCAAATTAATACGTATAAGGCAAGAAAAAATTGACAAATGCTATGGACTCTGCTCTGAACAATGAACTTATCTTCATTTCATCCTGTTTGAAAATACATGTATAAATGCATGATTCCTGTTACATTAACGACCTTCAAGAGTAAAATCTGCTCTTTCTATTGGTTATAAGCATGCCCTTCAACTTAAAACTGTCACTTAGTAACACAGCATCTACATTGCAAGTGGCTATGGTGTAGCTTGAACTTGGGAATTTATACAACAGTTTTCTTTAGAGGCCAATTCTAGGAATGTGTATCAAGTTACTGGTAAATAAATTCTATGTACATGTAATTCATTGCCAGCATGAAAAACAGTAGTCCTTTCTTGTATATATCAAGTCTAAAATTCAGTTGCTATAGCTGCTTACACTTCATGTTTTTATTATTGTTTAGCAGTTTCTTTTGAAATAAAGGAATAAGAACTTGAATAATATAAGACTTTGAATGATAATATACCTGATAATGCTGAATTAATTAAAAATACACTGATAATAAGGTGGTTTAATTAAATTTTGAATGTAACTCAGTAACACTTTGTGACATGTACAGAAAGGAATACCATTCATACAGATTAAAGTGTCAGCAATTCTGGATGTCCTTTGTCTGTGAAAGATGTAACAGCCATTGTCCAGTGTGTGGTGGGATCCATGATGCTGGCGGACCCTCTACTTCTGTCCCTTCCCCTGCCTTTGATATTGAAGCTGAAGATTTCCAGAACCTCATTACATATCTTTTCTATTCTTTCTCTGTTCTTTCATACCTTATTATGCTTCCCTTTCTCCTTGCAATTTC